GGCAGCGCAGGCACAGATTCCGAGTCAAAACCGACAGAAGATGAACCACCAGCAAAGCGGGCCAAGACAGTTGGAGGAGGATCCAGTCGGTTCAGCAGTTTCGGGTCTTTTTTACCAGCACCCAAGAAGACGGCGCCCATCGCCAACACTGCTTCTAGATCAGTGCCAGCGGGCGACAACAGCAACAAGCCCAAGCCGATCGTAAACCTTAGAACTGGCGCAGAACCTGCTTTTTCCAGGACTGGCAATGGGAATGAGGGCGATGGCTTTGGAGAATCAGAACCGACGTCAGGGTCCGGGTTTTCCTCTGGACTCAACCTTCCTGCACCAAAGAAGACTCCGGCAGGGCCATCAATACCAGAAGGACAGAAACCCGAGGAAGAAGTCAAATTGGTTGGAAAGCCACTCACGTTCAAGCCACTTTCCGTAGCAAGGAAGCCTCAGAAGAAGAAGGCTGCTGTGACACCCAAAACACCAGCTACCCAGAGTGTCGGGGACAAGGCGGCAACAACAACGGCGCCAGCCCCATCGGCACAAGTCACAGTGGTAGCAGCGCAACCAGCAGCTCCGAAAAGGAAGCAGGTCTCGCTTTTCTCCATGGAGGAGGAGGAAGCCACCCCAATAACAACAACCACAGCAACAACATCAGCCACTGGTGCCTACGAGCCCCTTTTCACGGCCCCAGATCCTTCGACCAACTACGAATATCATGACAACGACGTAACAGGCGACTACGATTCTTACACCGCTCCTACCACCTCCACCTATAACTCTGCACCTAGTAATGCGAGCCACCAGCAGTCCCTCAGCTCCATAGCTGATGATCTTGCTTTGAACAAGACAGCACGCAGAGAGCTTTTTGGGCGACAGCGTGGAGGCAAGAATAGAGACGCTTTTGAGATTCCAGAAGGCGCCAAGATCGTAAACTTCAACATGGAGCAGGAGTATGAGCATAACAACGCGCTGAGGGCCTCTGGCGAGCAAGTTTACAACCCAGTGCGGTCGATTGCGCCGGGCAAGCACAGTCTCAGACAGATGGTCAATATGGCGCAGAGTAACCAGTCAGCGTTGGAGGATAGTTGGGCTCAGGGAAGGAACAATCGCAAAGACGCTGCGGGGAAGTATGGGTGGAAATGAGGCTGGTTTTCTCTGTTTCGAATATAACTTCCGGGATTTCCTTTTGGGTATTTGCGTCATTATGAAGGTCAGCAGTTTGATACCCGGGGGAATAGCAACAATTTACTGTGTTAGACTGCCTTAGCGGCTGGCTAGCTAGCATCGCAGTCGACTGGCACTCAGCCACCATCGCCGTTGTAACTATACCACAACACTCGCCGACAACCTATGTTCTAGACGTACCGGAAAACCAGAGATACAGATGTCCGATACATCGACCTACAATTAAGAGCCGCCTCGTTGTCGTGATGACAGTGATCATTGCATTGGAGGTGATAGTTTTCCCGTCGCCATAAAGTTGAAGCTGCCGTCAAAAACCTGATCAGTGGAATTGGCTGTCAAATATCCATTTTTTCCACGGTGACTAGTTCGAATACCCAAGAAAAGTGATGGGTAAATAAAACCGAACACGTCACAGTTCGATATTGCACCCTTTTGGCGTGCTCTCTCATGCGTCCGTGTGTCTCTTCCACGGTTTTTGACCGCAGTCGAACCACTTCCTGGATCAAATAATTCCGAGCAGGCCCTAGTGACGTGCTTCCAACGCCTTTCCTAGCTAAATCGAGCAGTTTTGGGCTGTCCATGTTCGGTTAGTTTTTACGACTAGTCATCGGTGCGCTCTTGGTCAGTTGAAAAACGTGTGCGATGGTGAGCTGAGGAAGTGGATGTGCCTCTCAGAAATATGGCAGAAAATCATCGTTTTGATGTTCTGAACATCTGTGTTTCTAGAGCTAGGAAGTAATTGTTGTTGGAGATTGCAATCATACGCAACAGCTTCGCGTCACGGGCTTTAATAGTGTCATCTATCGTGCATGTATCCTTTTTCTTTCTTGAACTTACATTCAGTCCCTACGTCTAATTTTCACAGTACAGTTATCCCCCAGTCTGAACTATCTGGTCCGAGGAGAACGCTTCGATCCTAGTACATGTCATTCGGTAAGAAAGAAAGAAGTGCAATATTTGTCCAACTCTTGACCGAGTCACTGTTGTACAGCTACTCTGGAGAAACGTATGAACCAACCATCTCATGGACCTTAATCCTACCTGTCACATTCTGTCACGGTAAACCAAAATATCTTCTTCCAAATAAACGGATTACTTGCATGAAACGGCTTCCAGCAGCTGATTCCGTTCTGGTAGTCAAGTATATCCCATGCTGTCAGCTATTGTCAGCGGCGTCTGCGTGTGATACCCTCAGCTATCACGCTGACGACAGCTGAACCTTAAGAGGGATGTTCTATAGGAATAGCGCAGCAGCTCGTAATCATGGCCTGGATGTTGTGTAATGTTCTGAGACGCTGACGCTGACCAAGGGTAAGCAATGTATGAATTATGTTTTGTGTTTTCCTCTCTCGTTTTTACCTCAGTCCGCCATTTGCTTTCTGCCAGTTAGTCAGAACAAGTGTCCCTTGAACATAATCGTGAGAGCCGGAAATCGGTCACGCTGTAAATAACTCCCGGTCATCTACAAAGAAACATGTGGTCGAACGAGCAGTAACAGCCCATAATCATCTACGAAAGACGAGGATACCTCTAAGCATCAATCGTCATCTAGGGCAAGCGAATCGATACGTTTCCAGCCTCAAAGTCAACACTATGGGATATCCTTCACAGCCCTGGCAGTCTACTGCTACTGACATACTCCATCATGCCTTCTAGTCCATCTCAACTAGGTTGCTAGCTCCTCCACCGTCCCATCTGCGAGCTGTATCGCTCCTTCTCCAACAAAATCAACACGGTCTATAAACCGGGCACTGTCGCAGACCTCCTTCCAACAAGCAGCCGGATTGAAGCACGCCGGCAACATAGCGCAGCGGTTAACCGTGAACTATCCCAAACCTCAAGATGTCATAGAATTACTGTAAAAAGTGACCGAACCGCGAATCAAACACTACAACACATCCAAAGGCCATGGAAAAGGCGTCTTATAGATATAAAAAGGTTTTTAAAGTGACTACAATAGCAGCAACAATAACACATGCGTACTAAGGTGGTTGAGGTTTGCCATGCCTTCTTATTTTTGCATTACCGAACAATAGTTTCAGCAGCACTTGCGGACCTCACACGAGACACTGCAAATAACTAGTTCTAGTCATCGCCACTGTAAGCAACCCCAAACTCCCGCCGGAGCTCGTCCGGGTTCAACCACATTACTCAACTCTCCGCCGGCAACAGATCTGTCATCTCTATCTCCAGTCTCTTCTATACCGTGTCAAAAGCTTGTGTCCTCGTCATACGATCACTCAGCCATTGCCACCGCCGTCACCCCTTTACCACCACCCATTCAACATAAACTACATCCATATCCCTGCCAGCCAGTCAGCCTATGATACCTAGCACACTCACCAAAACCGAAGATACGTGACAGTGAACTCCGTCCTGGGCAGGAGGAGGAGGAGACGTATCGAAGTGAGGCTGAGTCTCCTCACCGCTTACATACCTACCTCCATCTCTAAGCTGTCTTGATTGGGATCTTTCATCTCTTCATCCCTTCTTCGAGGGTCCATTCTACCCCATGCTTGATCTTTTGCCCAGCCAGCCAACAAGGAACACTATGTAACACAAAACAGATCGGTGTAGAGTACAATACATAAAACCCTTGATCCCTCATCGTCCTTGCCTATAACGGTGTAAATTATAGGTTCCAGATAAGCGAGAAAATAAACTCAACCGCCGCAAAAAAAACGAAACGAAACAAAACGGCACCAAACGAAACAAAACCCGAACAGAAACATGACATGCATGTATGTATGTAAAAAGGCCTGCCAACAAGCGGAGCGGGGAGCCGGATGAACGGACGAGGAACCGAGGCGGAGCGTTATGGGAGACGACACCACCATCCCGGTTGGCTGGTTAGCTCGTTACATAGTTGGTTCGTTGGTCGGACGGTTATGGTAAGGTTGTGAATCTTGCGGTAGATGGATGGACTCACACGAGAGCATGACCCGTAGTCCCACAGCCCACATAGCCCTAACGTATTCGTATTTGCGCAAGCTGTTCGATGATACCTAAACCTAGCAGATCCCTTTCACTCCTCAGCCATATTGTTTGTTGATGGACGAACATGGTGACATGCCGTGACAGACTGCAAGAAGATCATTCGACTGTACCATAGTAGCTCGGAGAAAGTTGCATGTTTTCCGGGCTTTCCTGGCTCACAGCAGCATGGGTCAAGCCTGGGTAGAATTCCCGGAGCGAAAGCCACAGAAACTCCTTGTTCGTACCTATCCAACGGGTAGCCAACTCCCTCCCTCCCCTTTCAAGACAAGACAGGTAGGCATCAGCTGACGACATTCCGTTCGTAAAGGAATCATATGTACTGTGTGTACCGTAGGTGAGCATATGTCTGGCGTAGTGTACATATTTGGCCATCCACCATCCATCATCAGTCGGTCTATCAGTCCAGCCTGTCCATCAGGGTTCACAAACTCTTTCTTCTTCAAAGAAGGACACCTGACCCAGCATCAGCACATATGTTACCCACCGGGTCTCCGACACCGTGCATACAAATCGAACGAGCCGTCCCGCCGAACAACGAACGGAGGTTTGGGCGTTTGACCCGACGATGGGATGTCTTGCCTATTGCCCATTGGAAACAAGTGTCCCGCTAGAGACTACTAGCACGACTAGGTAGAGGCGAGATGAATTCCTAATGGTTGATCCAGTTTACCTACTGCGCCTACTGCGTTTCTCCCACATGTCCTCCGTAGTTTGGTTCACTTGTGTTTCAGGATAGGGGGAGGCTGGTGTGGCTGTTTTACTAGTGTAGTATGCACCTGCCTGCCATGCATGTAGATCAAGGACCCTTTTGTTCAGGACTTTTTAGGTTGTTTACACTACTCCTGGGCCATACTCCGCAGTCTCAGACCTCCCATGGTGGGGCACAAAACGAACCGAAGCGACGAACAAAAGTGAGACGCTTGAGACATCCGGGAGAGAGAGAAAGAAAGAGAAAGAGAGAGAGATCTGAGACATCAATGCAAAGCTCTGGATATCGCCGTCCATCGGCTTTCACTAATTTAGTCTGTTGACCGAGGACCAGACAGGTCCGTGAACAGCTGGAAGTTTGAATATACATTCATACTGTCCTCGAATCTCTCTCTTGAACCCCGGAGTGAGACATGCGGACGGGATAGACCAGATACACTGTGTGTATGCAAATCATGCATATATCATTTTGTGGTGTACCATCAACTTTGCTCAAGGTTAAACTCGGTGTGGTCCAATCCGGTAGTGCCGACATCGACCCTAAACAGGCCACCGCCATACTTCCTGCTCGGGGTCCCCTCCTCGCTGTCCTCGTCCGCGGCGCTGGTGATGAACAGCTCGGTACCCACAAATTCAACGCAGGTGATGTTGTTGGTCGGCAGGATGATTCGGCCCAGGATCTCCCCAGCCGGGGAAATCTTGATGACGGAACCGCCATCGTACAGGGCGTGCCAGATGTTACCATCCTTATCGACCCTGAACCCGTCCAAGTGACCCTTCTCCTTGTGCTTGTAGTGAACGCGCTTGTTGGAGAGGCTGCCGTCCTCGGGGTTGTAGTCCCACGCAAAAATCGTGTTCTCAGGCGTGTGAGTGAAGTACATGGTCTTCCCATCCGGAGACCAGCCAATGCTGTTGGGGATGATCAAGCCTGACTCGACCTCTTCCCTGGACTTTCCGAGGTCGAATCGGTAGAGGGATCCTATATCCAAGCAAATGACATGTCAGAATCCACAATACTTCGGGACAGAATAAAAATAAAGAGAAATCGTGTCATGACGGCCCAATTTTGATGTACGGCTGTCACTGTTGCTGTTGCTCTGCTGTTGTGTTGTGCATAACAACAGGTCCAAGAGACCCGCATCCTCCACAATGGGCTCCATTGACAGCACAAGCGCGTCACATCGAGCGTCCGGGATGTTCCACATATCACCCCTTGACAGACCCAGGGTCGATTGCCGAATTGGACCTTTAGGCTGCCACGTGGGAAGGAGATACTGGCTGATCAAACAGAAGAGGGACTTTTGAACTTTTTTTTTTCTTTTTCCCCTCTTTCACTCACCTTCGGATTGCGGCTCACCAACGTGAAAGTCATTCATGGTGCCAAGCCAGAAACGACCATGTGGATCAACGGCACCGTCATTGGATCTCATTCTGTCGGGCTCGCCGCCAATGCGGGTCAAGTAGTCATACTGACCCGTCTTTCGGTCGAGGAGGGCAATGCCATACTTGAGCGCCACTAGAATCTTTTCCTGCGGATCCTGACCCTGGATGTTGGCCGTGACACCAATCGGTGAATCGAGCTGGAGGGTCTTGAGCGAATCTGGCCCTTCCGTGACCAAGACGGTGTGCAGTCGCTTTTGCTTGATGTCGACAAAGCGCAACGTCTGGGTGCCCTTTTCGAAGTAGGGTCCCTCTCCAAGCTGGCAGTGCAAATCCAGATACGGCTCAGTAACGTGCCACTGCTGTACTTGGTTCTGGTCGGCCATGGTCGCGTAGTTTGACCAAGTTCCGAGAGAAGTCTTGGCGGTGGTTGGGAACCTGAGACGGTAGTGCGGTGGGTGATGCAGGCAACTCCTAGGAAAGGATCGTGATGCCTGTTGGGCGGAAGAAGAGGCAAGTCCAGAGGAGGCGGAAGTTCCGTATTGAGACCCAGTTGAGACCCAGTTGAGCGGATGCGGTGACGAAGCAGGCGGGACTAGTGCAGCATGTGCTTGACCAGAATCTGCTCGCTGGAGCTGTCGGGGCGACTGGCGTTGACGATGACTGGTTGCCGGACACGAGCGAGTTGCAGCCGGAGGCTATGGCACGGCAGCTACACCGTACTAAGTGGGCGTTTGGCTTGGTGTCTGTCACTCACTTGTCAGCGCGCATGTCTACCGGAAGTCTCGCCGGGCGGTTTGGAGAGCCGGGGATGTGTCGATGGCTCAGGATGTCAGTCAGGATGGCCGACATGGCTCGCTCGATGGAGAGAGTCGGCCGCAAAGGAGCGGTGTGTGTGGGTTTTGTACAATACAACTCAACCTACATGCGTACTTGCGTTACAGAGTCTGCGGATGCAGGCTGATCAAACTCTTGTTCATGCACGTCGTCGTGCTTGCAGATGAGGCGACGGTTTGGTTCTCTATCCAGGTCCAGCTTCAGCCGGAGTTTGTGTAGGTCTTTTATACACAATAGTAGAGGCCAAGGTGTTTGTTGCCAATAGTTCTGACGTTGTCGACGTCCATCGAGTGGGTCGCCGCAATGCGGAGCAGCACTGAGGGGGGCCGTCATAGACTGCCATTCAACGGGCCCCCTCCGCACCAGATCCCTTATCAGGCGTCCCGGCTTCCGGAAATCGGGCCTGGCATCCGTACACACGCGAGCGAGCCGGCCGCCAAAATTGCGCGCTGCGGCTGTCGAGGGCTGCGTGTGTCTCGGTCCAGAGGCAGAAAGGTTGTAATGAAACCACGCGCGCACTGCGCTGGTGTCACGTCGGTTGGATCGACTGTTACGATGCCCTCGGTTGCGCTGCCAAAGGAGTGCTGGAGTGCAGTCCATGGTGTTGTCGGTGGGTGCCGAAAGTGGAAAGGTTGAAGATTGGTTGGTTCCTGTCCGCTGCCGGTCGTGGACAGGTACCCGTAGCTTAGGGTATGTACCTATACTACCTGTACGACGCTAGTGCACCTACAAGTACACTAAGTGATCCAATGTGAGGTACCTTCCATGATGGCACTAGACATTGCTGCCACTCGCAAAGGAGGTGTAGTGTATATACTGTAGTGCCTTGGCGTTGCGGCAGCTACCCGTAGGCCATGGCAGGAGAAAGGAAACACCTCAGATGCTCCTTCGTCCAGAGACAGCGACTTCCAATTTGTTTGTTGGCAGCCTGAAAGAGATGGAAGCGCTTGCAGCGCTTGAGGCCCATCGATCCAATCAATCCATGCTCGGAGACAAAATAAAGTGAAGGTTTTATGAACTGAAGCGAGGAACAACAAGAGATCAGGTGGCTCACCTATTGGCTGCAGTACTCATGCACATGTTGAATCTCGCGATAAGTCACTTCCAAACGCACACTTCAAGGCATTTCCCAAACGAGCCGATACTGCATGTCAGGGCGGTCGTTGAGCAATCGGATGTCGGCCATGAAGCATCATGATCCTGAGTAACCCTGGTGCCTCGATTGCAATTGCCAATCCCCGACATCCAAGACGTGAAAGCCTCATCCAGATCGAGGAAGCCGACCACTAAGGTATCTTCGAATCGGAAAGTGTTGTCGCGTGTCCATCCAGCTCCAGTGGTCCTGTCGTTTCAGCGTTACAGCCAACACAGACATCAGTCAGTTTATGACAAATGTTACGGTAACGTACGTAATGCGACATCCAGGTCAAGACACTCGAATTAGTACAATAACATGTCTTGATGTTGCTCGCCCTGCACATTTAGGGTTACCAAAACGGCCTTCTGAGCTGTTCATGGTAAATGACTCACAGCGTAGAGTTAGTCCGGCGTCCAGACACTACTCTTCACCATAGATGGCGGAAGAGACATATCCTTCATTCTTCATTCATGGTGTGGCCTGCCTTGGTGTTTGTCGGTACATAAGAAGCATCACGGCAGGGGGCCTCTGTTCGCCTATGCATTTGATACAGTTAAAACTCCCGTCATTGCTAGACGCAGGATAGACAGGTTCATCGACCGTTGAGGAGCCCTGGTCCCCAAGACAGTAACACATGATCGACCGCCGCTGCATGCACTATATGCCCCGGTCAGCTTCTAGGGCTTCGATAGGCCCAACGAGTAAGGCAGATGCGGGTAAGGCCCGATGGTCCTGGCCTTTGATGTCTTCCCTTGTCCTTGATCCCCTAGCGCAAAGTCGTTCAGTTGGAACAGCTCGTATACGTTATTAATTTCTGTTATCCGTCGCATTGGGGAAAAGAGAAGGTTAGTCGTAACCGAGGCGTGGGCATTCAACAAGCAAACATGGTTTCATCATGAATTTGTGTGGGCAATCTGAGTGGTCTTGAGGACAAGTAAGGCATTAGTGGCCAGTACTTCTCGTGCGCACTCACCTTCGGACTGTTGTCGCCGACTTGCTGGTGCCTAGCCGCAGTGCGAACTTGAAGGGGCAAATATGAAGTGTCATCGGAGCACATAGAAATCCTCTTACCTTTCTCCCTCCGAAAACCCCACGGAAGCCTCTGCCGGCTTGGTGCTTCCGGGTGGAAATAGCGTCAATGGCGGTAGTGTAGATGGACCTGGAAAGGCGGTCAAAAGCTCATTGTCGAATCGGAAAACGCGCCAGCCCTAGGCTCTTTTGCTTCTGGGGAAGAGATGGGGCAAGGTATTGAGCAACAGCAGACTCATCGTTGTCCTTCGTTTCCATCCGTCGTTGATGTCATGAATCGGCAAATTTCAAAGATACCAAGTGTTTCGGTAAGTTGATTCGAGATATTCGCAAATGACGGCACCAACAACTTTCGCCATGGGCAATAGTGCAAATAAGTCAAGTTGCTGTCTGAATTCCATGTCGTCACTGTGTCGCCATGCCAGGTACTAGGTTGACCGTGCAAGTAGTACAGTACAGATTCTAGTAAATGCAACTAATTTGGGCTTTCTAGGTACCTAGTAGGTAGTCTCAAAAAATATTGCATGTACCATTATTTTGAATTTGTCAGGGTCTTAGTCAGGGGCACGTCAGAACACTTCAATTGCATTTACCAAGTAACTCTGTATAGATTTGCGTTTCCCGGGGCTTGCAACTACTAAGTATTTCGCTGTACCGTGTCAGACCTGACAGGGCCCGTACACCAATGAAAGCCCCAATAGACGCAGGCTACTTAAAGTATGTAGTACCTAAGGGAAGTCAGAATGCGGGGATCTGTACATCCATATGCCATGCTTGTAAGCTGCAGCACGTTCCCGCTTCACCTTCAGCTCTTGACAAGTTCCCGTCAAGGGAGAAGAAATGGCGACGAAGTCGTCGGGCGTGGCCTTGTATCGATACAGCTCCCATCTGTTTCCTCTGGCACTCCAGTCTCGACATTGGACATCCCGCGTTATTGAAACCGATATCCTTCAACGTCCCGTTCGCCCCAGAGACTCGACTCGGCAACAGATGCCGTAATTTCGGATTCGCAAGACGTCAGAGCCGCCGGCGTCGCAATTTAGTTGTGAAGGGCTGGGCCTGCCCGTGCTTCCTACTCAGAACGATGGAGTGATCGCAAGGGGAATGCGGAACCCAGGAGAACGGATCCAAATTTGACAATTTCGTCTTTGGGCCAGTAACCACGCGGGAATCTGTTGTATTGGACCAAATATCGATACGCCGACCTGGATGGGATTCTGGAGGAATCACCTCATCTGGTCACACTGAACAAGTGCGCGACCCAGCTCGCAGCAACTATCCGACGTTGAAACGGGCAGAGGCATGAAGAGCAACGAACCAGTCTGTGCGTTTCGAAAGTCACCGAAAACCGAGTTGACTGAGCAGCTCCATCAACGCTGTCCTTCCCTTCATCCGTCCCTGACGCCAACAACACGATATCAAAAGGAATGTTTACACGGTACACCTCCTACCCAGGCTCGCCCGGCGGCACCACACCATATCTCAAGCATTGTCCAGTGTGAACGAGGTCGCATGTTGGGCCGCAGAACCTAGGAAACCAGCAGAAGCCTCATTTTAGATGTACAAGGAGCAAGGCCAAAGTCAATTTGAGCACGGGATATGTCCAATTTGCTACGCTACCAGCAGTGTACGCCACTGATCCTGACGGAGGGTTGCAGTCAACGTATTTCGCAACCAACCATGGCCGCTCAAGACACAGATGCCATCATGTACCTGCCGTTGAGTACTGTATGGATGTGGAGGTACAATTTCGAATTGACAATCCCCAACAGAGTCAGCCATGGTACGGTAGCAGCCCAACCAGAGGAGTTTGATATCTGCAAGACAACCCAACATCTGGATTACCTGGCAGTTGTTGGATGTAGGAGGCGTGTCAACGCAAGTTCAGGTGTCACCTCGAGGCACGTTCAGTTGGCGAGTTGTTTGTTCGGATTCGAGACTGAAGCCGTAGCTAAACATCGGAAGCACTCTCTGGGTTCGGAGCAGAGACGGATGCAACGAAGATGGTGCGGTGCTGTCGGAGGTGTTCATGAAAGTTCCAAACGCCCAGCCAAGGTCCCCACTGCCCGTGCAAGGACAGACAGAAGCAAGGGGCATCCCCCAAAACTGACAACACCCACATTGCTATGTACTACTACCTTCAGTCTTGGAGGTCGGTTCTGGCATTGGCAGGCACGACGGAGGATGCTCCTTATACTACACTCATCTCGGCCTCATCTACGACGAACATTCGTGGATGGCATAGCGTTCAGGGCAAGGCAGCCCCAGCCCTTCCACACTGCAATATTGGACTTTGTGGGCTTGGCACACTTTCCACAATTTGCACCTGTCCATTTCCACTTATTCACCATCCAGCTCGATATCTCCATTGGCCTCCAACCAGCAGCTTGGCGACGGCATCTGCAAAATGGAGGTCAAGCTTCTTCACCTTTACTTGACCTGCTTGGCTGAGAGATCCGACACTGGATGGTCGGCCATCTAACAAATGAATGTATCGTGCATTCGACCTCCCCCCCTCCCAGTGCAGCTTCACTGTACTGAGGTGTCAGACAGCCCAGATGCCAAGAACGGCCGCTTTGTAAGGACCATTTTGGAAGATGGAGTGTCGCAACAATCGAGCCAAACTGACCACTCAAGGCACTCCACAGAACCCGATCTGGTAGCCACATCACCATGACAGCCTTTGAAGCTACGCGGGCTGCTACGCTACCTGGGCCCCGGCCCCGTACATATATACATACCGGACAGGCAGAGTGACACGCCTACCCGACCCTACAACTCCAAAACCTCAGGCGGTGCGCCCACGATCTCGTGCCTTATTTGACCACTCTGGCGAACGACATTTTCGCGTTTATTTTGGGTTTGGTGGCTTGCCAGGATCAAGTTAATAAAGATACAGGCCCGTAATTTGTTCGGGATGGCATCAGCCGCTGCAACTGGACATGACTGGCATCAGGATACGCAGCACGCACCCGTCTGCTGCCATGCAACATCACCTCACATCATTCTCCTGGAGAGATACCTCCGAGGCTCTGTCGTCTGTTGATCACCTCCCGTCAGCCGGCATGTTCAACACCATCAGCTCCGCCCTGTCGTGTAATCCCTTCTTTATCTCTCCTTGGTGAAGCTTCCCTACAAAACAAGCTGCCCGCCGACCCCAGATTGGTCCATGCAGCCGCCGCGACTTTGTCGAGTCCACTGGAGCCACTCAACGACAACATTCTGCGCGCAAAACCTGACTACGCCGTACAACATGTAGGCGGTGGGTCATGCGAACCTCTTTTTTCTCCGTGGGCTTTGCACTTTGCCCGCTTACAGATGGCGGGTCTTTTGATAATCTTTGGATCTCGGGAACATCTCGTGGCGAGCCAGAGTCGGGGTGAAATACCCAAGAGGCCAAGGAGGCCAAGTGAAATCATAAGCACAAAATCCTCTGTCTGGAATAGGATCGTCGTATCGCATCGTCCGCCTCAGTCACGCACATGAAGCAGGGTGTAAGGGACGAGCACCTGCTTTTCCCCGGGAAGCTTGCTGGGTTCTCACCAGTGGTAAATCTCTGTGTGGATCGCTATGGTTTATTATGCGCATCATCGCTACCGTTCTCTCCACCCGTGATGACCTTCGGGATCGCGACATACGTACACAGTATGCGCCATGGACTGGTTTTTTTTTTTTTTTTGACTGCCTGCACGGAAATTGCTTGACTGTTCACACGGAACCCTTTCGCTCACGCGAGATGCCGCAACTCCAAGGACCCTCGGGCTGTTGTATTTTTGATACGCGGCAATACCAATACGACGTCGCCAGTTCTCTTATTGTCTCACATATAATGTCTGCCACACCTAACATGAGCGATACCGGGAATCTCAGCCTCTCGGTCATCCTAAAAACGGCACGGTGCGCGTTAATAGCCAATCCAGAAATTTCTTCAAAAGCCATACCAATGCTCACCTCGACTCCTTTGCGGACGACCCATCGTCAGCAATGAACGCAAGTTGCCATTTTAGACTAGCCGCCTAGGCACAGTACCGTCACGGGCTTTCAGGACTAGCATTTGCCGCTGATGCGAGCGATCCACTACCAACCCAGTCGCTTGGGCCGTGTATGCTCGGTCACGCCAAGAGGGTCTTGGTCGTGCTGTGTGGATGTCTGAGCTTTTGGGCCTCATGGACCTCACCACATGTACACTATTATCGTGGTGGAATCACGAAACAGTGTCCGGTTAGCCCTCATTGATCCATCCACCTCCAGGCCGACATACCCATGCTACCCACAAGGTGGACTCTTTGCGAAAAAAAACGGCCAACAAAAAGGGAAGTGGAAATCCGAGCAAGATCATCTGAGCGAAAATGGAAATACGCCAACCGGAAGTGCTAGGTAACATTGAGTCTGTCAGTTTCCCCAGGAGGATCGTTGACAACAGCCCTGTCAAGACTTAGCACATACCTACCAAGCGACCATCACTTCAAACTGACATGGCTCTTACAACCCCTGCTTTTCCTCTGCGTTGCCGTACCCCGGCAGCTACCTATCCACTCGCTGCCTGCTGACTACTATGGTACTGTGTACACTACGATTCCGCCATTGTCCCCGTGTTGACTTGTCCACCCATCGGAACACACTACGTACCAGTTCTAGCACGACCACCCAGCAGATAAACAGCAACTTGAATAGAAAGCGTTGAACAACAGAAGCATGGGTGGACAATTACAGGCTCCGGGACATGCTGATCACTGTGGTCCGCGGAACTGAGGTACCCTTGGAACTCACACGTCAACTCAAGGGCAGTGGCTTGTCTCGTGGGACGACCTATGCTCCCTTATCCACGGCCTCTGCTCTTGAAGTAGAGCAACAGTGGTCCAATCAGAGCTATATAGTCTGTCCCGCTGGCGGGGACCTTGAAGCGCGATTTTGCCTCAATCTGAACCGACTCTTGCTTCACCACCGTTACGACATCCCGACTACTCGTGAAGCCAGCGAGCATTCCACCAGAGGCAAACAGACTATCCCAAGAAGCTAGCAAAACTTAGGGATCTGAAAGGAGGCTTCGTCTTGACCTACGCCCACCTAAACGGCGAACCTCTAGCGCTACGTGGTCTCCAGGACCATTCAGCGGGCGAGTCTCCTCCTGACGACGTTGAGTGGTCCAGAAACCTGCATACCATCCCACCTTGTCACCGCAACTACTCTTGCATCGATTACCCACCGGGACTGCTGGTCTACGCCTGTCATTTTTTTCTCTACTCCGCTAGGGGCCCCTCGAGCTATCCGCCGGACTACCCTCCTGTCGAAGTAGTCCCCGCTCGCCTCCACCCGC